GGCATTGTGAATGCGGTACTGGAAGGAAGCTTTTCAAGAAGAGACTGTAGGAACGATCGCTCAATAGGTGTCATGGTTGTCTTCTTGTTTGTGTTTGGATTTGCAGGAGGGGCTTTTGCAGGAGTCCGAGATGTGCGATACACAGATATGTGTGTATGCGCTGCAGTACCGCCTATGCCCAACACAATTCAACATTAGATTTCCAGAGGGAAAATGGAATGGTTACAGGTATCCGTATAGACTCGAGGGGAAAATGTGGCATGTAACCCGTGCTTTGCCGCGATATTGATGATTACCTCATGACTGAATACGACTGCATCAGCTGCTTCTAGAGGTGGGAGCGGCCCTGTCACTATTTCGTACTGTGCATCGAAAATCCATGTCAATCGCACTTCATTCAGGGATCGTAGTTCCACACCTGTCCAGGAGCTGCCTCGGAGTGATACATCAGGAGATCTATGCCGCCATACTGTAGAGCATCAGCAATGTCCTCGAGGCACTTTTCAGCAACTGAACCCGAGAGCAGTGCACGGGATGCCGACCATGGAGCGTCATTCACGGCCGAGATAGGATCCGTTGACTTGAGAAGAATGAATTCCGTCTCGACTCCGACGAGAAACTCAACGCCTAGTTCTTTTCCTTTGCTGAGGCGCCTATTGTCAACAAATGAAAATGGCAAACCTTAAATACACATACTTTACGGTGTCCCTGAGGAGCCCTCGTGGACAGAGAGGGACCTTCAAATCGTCCTCTCTTCCTGCACTTTCCCGAGTGGGCAATTTTTCCTCAAACCAACCCATCAGGCTCACATGTCTAGGAGCGTAGGCGCATCGGCGAAGGGAACTCAGATCAGGAGTGTACAAGTATTCGCCAGTACCTGAGAACCCAGGCGCCAGAGATGATCCAACGAGGCCAAACGCGGCCATGGTGAGCCCTATCCCAGGGCGTGAGGCTGACATCAGTTCGAGAAAGGACGTAACGGGTATGATGCGGTAGCGAGTGATGTTTGTATAATCAACCCATTGGAAACGAATGTATCGTGTTCCATCGCCCTTTAGCTCTTCGAGGACATGACCTTGCCCATAGGTCGGGAGTTTCACCGATGCTGGGAGATATTGTAAGCCAAACGCGACCTGCGAGGTCGACGGAGGTGCCATAATTTCTAGGAGCCTGTGGATCGCCTGTGGAAGTTGATACTAACCTACACAAGGTCAGAGAGCTTTAAAATCGCCCGGTGGCGGAGTTGGATTACGTGATCTTTTTAGCTGCATTCGACATTGCGTAATGATGAGGTCTGATACGTATGTTCTGTTCCCCCGCGGGCACAGGTTCCAACCTTACCTTCAACGTGGTCTCACTACGCATGGCCATTGGCCAGCGTGACGGGGTCTGCCCAATGGCGTAAACTCGATGGGAAATTCCGCGGAACACGACAGCTGCCGCTTATCGGGTTTGGTTGTCTGCACATTTTTAGAACCGATACGGTACCCAAACTCTTTACAGTAACAATTTTGGTATGAGAGAGCGCACATCTGCTCTTCTGCCGCAGCGTCGTGTTTCCGCATTTCTGGGCCTGAAGCTTACCTGGCAGTCCAAAAGCGAACAACCAGTACTCGCTGCAGGTGTGTTTAAAGAGTCGCACTATCCTTATGTCTGGCACTCTTCCGAATTTGCCTACCCGTGAATGTGATCCATCTATGGAGGGACGAAGCTTATCTTGTTCATCGATTACCCTATCCGGGTCCACCCAACTTCGTCTCTTCTAAACTAAGGTGGCGTACATCAGTTATACGGTTTGCTTATTTTCGGTCCATGTGGACAGTGCCGTTTATATCTCGTTGAAATCTGGTCCGAATCACCACTCGCTTGTATCTCGGGTCTTCGATCTCGTGATAAGACGTCTTATAATCATGACATCCATCCACTTCTTCCCCCTGCGCCGCTCTCTCTCCCACCTATCACTTGACAGTCCTCGTTGAGATGGGTTCTTTCAGCGAGACAAGTGATGAGAAGCGTGGACACGTTTCCATTGACTCCAAACAACTCGATACTGGTGCACACCTAGACGCTGGCCTCCACGCAGAACTAGACCTAGGTGAATCCTTGAGAATTAGGTGAGTATAGATCCTCAGAACGTTATGTTAAGCTTACAATCCTTTACCAAGGCGGAAAATAGACCGACATGTCCTACCTCTCATGTGCAGTAAGTGTCCGAACAGATCTAGACTGTTGTCATTTAAAAGAAGTTTTTCAGTATTGTACTGGTACCACCTTCTTTTATCTCGTTTCTACTGCAGTCGTTCGATTGTATTTTTGTAGTATCCAGTTCATGGACAAGACGACCCTAGGCAGCGCCTCGATTCTTGGAATACTGTGAGCAATACGATTGGGGGAAATTCACGTCTAACCTACGTCCAGGAAAGCTACTCATCTTACCGCGAACCAGTATGTACTCATTTTATTGTATGGCGTGTCAGCTAACAGAATTGGCTCGTAGATACAATTGGTTGCGTCTCGCCTTCCTGTCTCTGGTCCGTATCTTACACCCATGGATCAGGTTAGGGACGATCTTTTATCTTGGGTATCTCGCCTTCGAGTTTCCGCAGAATTTGGCACTGCAGAGGTTTCCCGTCGGAAAATGGATGAGGTTGGTCTCACACGCTTTGCATGAAGCTCCGTTTTCTGAAGTGATACGTCTCTAGCTTGAACATATTTATCTGGGGTGTTGCTTTGTGTAGCCATGCGGCTTGCAAGAACTTTGCCGGTCTCTTCGCCGTTCGTCTCGTTCTTGGAATCTGTGAAGGGTCCATCACGGCGGGATTTATGATTGTCAGTTCCATGTTTTACACGCGGAGAGAGCACACGGCTCGAGTTGGTTATTGGTGTAAGGACTATGATCAGCCTCCTTCAACTCTCTTTCTCAACCTCTAACAGTTCTAATGAATGGAACTGGTTTGAGAACCAAGTCTTTTATCTTCGCAGACGCTTATAGACGTTGCAGCTCAAATTATCTCTGGTTTCATCAGCTTTGGCACCTTGCATATTCATACTACAGGGCTTCAGCCGTGGCAATGGTACGGTCAAGTTCAACATCCCAACTATGCACTTACCTTCTTCTAGGCTTATGATAATTACCGGAATACTTACCCTCATCACGGCACTATCATTCTTGTGAGCACCCATAAATACTACGCCTTCTCCCATTCACAAATACCCAGTTTTCTGTTCCCGGACTCCCCGACAAATGCGTGGTTTCTGACCGAGGACGAGAGGGCAAAGGCCGTTCGACGTATCAAAGTACGTGACCATAGCTCCTGTTAAGTGCTTGGGCTGACTGTGAATAACGAAGGACAACCAAACAGGAGTTGAGAACAAGCACTTCAAAAAGGAGCAGTCAGTTCCGTCTGCGTCCCATATTGCATCGTTGTGAATCTGTGGGCAGGATGATTGAAGCCATGGTGGACCCGAAGACATGGCTCTTCGCGTTGTATGCAGCCTTCAATAACATCCCAAACTCAATCACCAACCAGCTTCAAATTATCATTGTATCTTTCGGTTTCAACCAGCTACAGACAACGCTTCTCGGCTGCGTTTTTGGTGTAATAGAAATCGTGGCGATCTTTACAGGCGTCACGATTGCGTCCCGCATCCCAAACAGCATCGCATGGGTAGGGATTGCGTATTTTGTTCCGAGTCTCCTCGGACTGTTCTTGGTAAACTTCCTACCCTGGCATGACAAAGTCGGATTGCTATTTTCCATCTGGATAGCAAGTACGCATGACGTTTCACGAAGACACAAGACCATCTAACCCTTCTTATTAGCTTTCGGGGTTACTGGTTTCGTGTTGACTTTGACTTGGGTGTCTCAAACGACAGCTGGGCATACAAAGAGAGTCACAACGAATGCCATCATGCTATCTGCGTACTGCATTGGCAATGCTGTTGGACCGTTCATGTGGAGGGCTAAATATAAACCTCGGTAAGTTGGTCAACGTCCCCAATACCCCACGACTGCTGATACAGTATCTAGCAACCATGTTCCGTCGATTGTAATTGGCGTGTGCTCTCTGTCGTGTATGGCCTTGCTGTTTTCCATCAGAGTATTACTGGCACGTGAGAACAAACGGCGCGATGCGGAGCCTCCAGACAATTCGTTTGATGGTGTACACGTGGTGAGGATCGACGATGACGGAAAGCGTACAGAGGTAAAGGTCTCTAAGGTTCGTGTCCGTTCTCACCGGGAAGATTATATTTTAAGTTGATGTGATTCTACAAAACAGGAGTTCTTGGATTTGACGGATCGACAAAATCGAGACTTCAGATATGTCCTGTAGTTTCTGTGTGTTGTGCTATCATCAGTTACAGTAAGTCGAATCGTATGGGTTTCTGCTCGGGTAGAAATGGAATGTCGGATCGTGCGAAGGCTCATAGATTCAAAGTCCGTTGCCTTCGACTTAGGAGCGCCATAGGAGCATTCACTGAGCATTCCCATCCTCGTACGAGTCTTCGTTCTCAATGTCCGAGTCTCACATCACGATTCTAAGCCAGCCCTTCGCACCTAAGCCATTATTGACCTCCGATAATGTGCCAGACCAAACTGATAGAACACTTCTGGTCAGAGGTGGTAATATTGGGATCGGTAGAGAAATCGTACGAGACTACGAGTACATCGATGGACTCGGACTAAGAACGTCTGTGTGTAACATACCAATCGCGCAGATTCTCTTGTCCGAGGGTGCCAGTGTATATCGAAGCTAGCGACAGAATCGTGTACAGAAACCTATTGAGCTGAAGGATGAGACCGTAAAACAGTCTGTCTTACTTGCGGAAGCCAGATACGGCGACCTGGTCGGTTCAAGGACGCTGCCGAGGAGTTCACCAGAGAAGAAACCAAACCAATGGACAATGCAATCTAACGGCTTTATTTTTCATATTTTTTATTGGCCCACTACGGTTCAAAACTCTTGAAGTGATGATGGGAAATAAGGAGGGCAAAAAGATTCCCAGAGCCAACTCGAACCGGTGAACTCGTCATCGTGACTTTCAAGGTCACTTTATGATTTTCAAGATCACGATGTGATTTTCTAGATCACATCATTAGTGACGCGCTCTACCAGCTGGGCTAACGGGGCTTGTTTAATTCGTTACATTCAACATTATGGGCCATCAAGCTTCACCGCAAACGATGAGCTTTCCCCCATCTCACGAGCCTTATTCGCGATCTGCATAGGTTTCTCTAGTCCACCAGGCACCATTGTCAATTGTCGGTTCGCGCAAACTCACGAAAATCGCAATCAAGGACACGCTGCTCACACGCATCTGGTGTTATCCCTCTAAACAATCCTTCTCCACCACGGGGTCGTTTACAGGTCCCTTTTGCTTTTACCCGTCCTTCATGCCGTGCTGATTCTATTCAGATTTACGTAACTGCGGTTGCCTGTGAGCCCCATTGTGTGCATCATACAATGTTGACTCGAGGTCAGAAGAGAACCTTATCGTTATCATTATCGCTGCTCGTCTCTTTAGAAAGTTCTCACCAAGGTTCTCACGGACCCTTGACTCACTGCAGTCAAAGTCTGTTGAACTCGGTTGATGCTCCTTCTCACCTTCCACCGCTCGGCCACGGTTTCCGCACCACAGTCGTAAGTCGAACACGACTTGCGATGTCGACGGAGGCAACGGAGGTGCTATAAACACCGGAAGTTGAGCTGATTGCAGAGTTAGATTACGTACAAAGCGCAATCGACGGACCCCAGTCGTACAGTACACGACCCCCAGTGACAGCGTAATCTTTTTCTTTTTCTTTTGATTCCATTTCGGTCCACCTGGGGTACAGAACCCTACGTAGGACCTTATCTGTAATACTGACAGCGTAATCTTACTCACGTCACATTGCGTTCTGGGTTGCCCCGCGGGCACAAGTACCGACCCTTCAACGTGGCACCAATGCAAGGCCCGCGGTGACGGGGTCTGCCTAATGGCCTAAACTTGATGGGAAATTCCATGGAACACGACAGCCGCCACTCATCGGGCTTGGTTGTCTGGGTATTTTTACCCAATACGGTACACAAGCTCTTTACAGTAACAAATTTGGCACGCACATGGGCTCCTCTGCCGCAGTATCTTGTTTCTGCGTTTCAGGGCCTAAAACTTAACCTACGACAGCTACCTTGCAGATAAACTGTTCCACGAGAAACCTAAAGCGAATAACCAGTTCTTGCTGCAGGTGTGTCTAAGGGTCGCACTATCCTGGTACTGCATATCTGGCACTCTTTCAAACGGGTCTCTATGTGAATGTGATCTATCTATAGAGGGACGAAGCTTATCTTGTTCATCGACTACGACCCGATCCGGGTCCACTCAATTTCCTCTCTTATCCCAGGTGGCGTGCATCAGTTACACCGGTTTGCTTGTTTGCGGCCAATGTGCCCAATGCCGTTTGGATCTCGTTGAAGGCTGGTCCGAATCACCACTCGCTCGTATCTCCGGACTTCGATCTCGTGATAAGACGTCTTATAATCATGACATCCAAGGTCCACCTTCTTCTTTCCCCTACGCCGCTCTCTCCCCACCACTTCTTACTCGACCATCGATATTGAGATGGGTCCGTTCAACGAGACAAGTGATGAGAAGAGTCACGTTTCCATCGACTCCAAGCAGCTCGATACGGGCGCACATCTAGACGCTAGCCTACACTCACAACTAGACCCGGGTGAATCCTTGAGAATTAGGTCAGGGTAAATCCACTAAACGTTATGTTAAGCTCACAATTTTTAATGAAGGCGGAAAATAGACCGACATATCCTACCTCTCATGTGCAGTAAGTGTCAGAACAGATCTTGGCTCTTGGCATTTAAACAGAGGTTTTCCAGTATTGTATTGGTACCACCTTCAAGTCCCGTTTCTACCACAGCCTCTTGATCTATTGTAGTATCCAGTTCATGGACAAGGCGACCCTAGGTAGCGCCTCAATTCTTGGGATACTGTAAGCATTACGATCGGGGGAAAGACACGTCTAACCCTACGTCCAGGAAAGCCGCTCATCTTACCGCGAACCAGTATGTGCTCATTTTCTTATGTGGCGTGTTAGCTAGTAAAATTAGCTCAATAACTCATAGATATAATTGGTTGCGTCTCGCCTTTCCAGTCTCCGGTCTGAATCTTATTCCTATGGATCAGGTTAGGAACGACCTTCTTTCTCGGATATCTCGCCTTCGAGATCCCCCAGAATTTGGCGTTGCAAAGGTTTCCCGTCGGAAAATGGATGAGGTTGCCCGCACACGCTCTACAAAGGAGCTTCGTTTTCTGAAGCGATACGTCTCTAGCTTGAACATATTCATCTGGGGTATTGTTGTATGTTGCCATGCAGCTTGCAAGAACTTTGCCGGTCTCTTCGCCGTTCGGTTTGTTCTCGGAATCTGTGAAGGATCCATCACGGCAGGATTTATGATTGTCAGTTCCATGTTTTACACGCGGAGAGAACACACGGCTCGTGTTGGTTATTGGTGTAAGGACTATGATCAGCCACCTTTAACTCCCTTTTCTCAACTTTTTACAGTTCTAATGAATGGAACTGGTTTGAAAGCCGAGTCTTTTTGCAGTCGTAGATACTCATAGACGTTGCAGCTCAATTATCTCCGGTTTCATCAGCTTTGGCACCTTGCATATTCATACTACTGGGTTTCAGCCGTGGCAATGGTAAGAGCAAGATTTACATCTTACCGATACACTTACCTTCGCTAGGCTTATGATCATCACGGGACGCTTACCCTTATCACGGCAGTATCGTTCTTGTAAACACCCCTAACAACCCGTAACCCCTTCTTCCATTTACGAATAGCCAGTTTCCTGTTCCCAGACTCCCCAGTAAATGCTTGGTTCCTGACCGAGGGCGAGAGGGCAAAGGCGGTTCGACGCATCAAAGTACGTGATCATAGCTCCAGTTAAATGCTTGCGCTGACTGTGAATAATGAAGGACAACCAAACTGGCGTTGAGAACAAGCACTTCAAAAGGAGCAGTCAGTACCGTCCGCATCCCGTATCGTATCGTTGTGAATTTGTGGGCAGGATGATTGAAGCCTTGACGGACCCAAAGACATGGCTCTTCGCGTTGTTTGCGGTCTTCGATAACATTCCGAACTCAATCGTCAACCAGCTTCAAATTATCATTGTGTCTTTCGGATTCAACCCGCTGCAGACAACGCTTCTCGGCTGCGTTAGCGGTGTAGCAGAAATTGTGGTGATTTTTACAGGTGTGACGATTGCGTCCCGCGTCCCAAACAGCATCGCATGGGTAGGGATTGCGTCTTTTATTCCGAGTCTCCTCGGACTGTTCCTGGTCAACTTTCTACCTTGGCACGATAAAGTTGGATTGTTATTTCCGTCTGGATACAAAGTACGCATGACGTTCTGCAAGAGATGGAGGTTCATCTAACCCGCGTGACTAGTTAGCGGGATCACTTGTGCCGCGTTATTATTCACTTGGGTGTCTCAAACGACTGCTGGGCATACAAAGAGAGTTACAACGAATGCCATCATGCTTTCTGCGTCATGCATTGGCAATGCTGCTGGGCCGTTGATGTGGAAGGCTAAATATAAACCTCGGTAAATTGGATAGCATCCCCGACCCCCACGACTGCTGATATGGTATCTAGGAACCATGTTCCATGGATTGTAATTGGCGTGTGTTGTGTGTCGTGTATGGCCTTGATGTTTTCCATCAGAGTGTTGCTGGCACATGAGAACAAACGGCGCGATGCGGAGCCACCTGACAATTTGTTTGATGATGTACACGTGGTGAGGATAGACGAGGACGGAAAGCGTACTGAGGTCAAGGTCTCCAAGGTTCGTGTCCGTTCTCGCTGGGAAAATTATATTACATGTTGATTTTACGAACAGGAGTTCTTGGATTTGACGGATCGACAAAATCGAGATTTCAGATTTGTCCTGTAATTTCTGTGTGCCATACTCTTGGCCGTACTATCATCGGATGGAATGAATCATATGGGTTTCTGTTCAATCCATACCGGGTAGTCGTCACATGGATCATGCGAAGGCTTAAAATCAGAATCAAAATCAATTACCCTAGGCTTAGAAGCGTTCCCATCCTCGTAATACAGGTCAACGACGGAGTCTCGTATCGGCATTCCAAGCCAGCTCATCGCACCTAAGCCAGTATTGACTCCAAGGATATGCCAGACCAAACCGACTTCTGGTCGTCGTTGTTATAGTAATATTGATGATCGGTAGAGAAATCGTATGAGTACATCGACGGACCACTGAGAGAACATCTGCGTGTGGCCTACCAATTTCGCAAATTCTCTTGTCAACGTGTGTACATCGCAGCTCGACACGTGAAATCGTGTACAGAAGGCTACTGAGGAGCCAACTCGTATTGAGTTAACAGTAATGGACAACTTCAGGGCCTACAACCTTGCAACGAGGGCCAATTGGTGAGCCCTATTCCAGTGATATGAATTTACGAAATGCAGTAAGCGGTAAAGTTTAATGAGGTAGCGAGTGATATTTGTGTGACCAACCTGTTGGAAATGAAATTACCGAATCTCATCGTTCTGTAGCTTGTCGAAGACATTACCAGGAATACTGTACCTTGCTCATAGGTCGGAAGCTTGACCTAAGCTAGGAGATATTAGGCTGAACGTAAATTGCGATGTCGGCGGAGGTGCCATGAATTTCTAAGACTTGTGGATCGCCTGTGGAAGTTGATACGTTGATACTGTACTGCACAAGGTGAGAGAGAGTATTTTAAGGCACACCTGGTGGCGGAGTTGGATTACGTAATACATTTTTAGAGTTGCAAAATCTCGATTTTTGTGCACATGGCGCGGCAAATTTTCCTCGGACCCAGTTGTCATTCAGGCCCGGGTTCCCAGGCACAGCGTAGTCCCCGTCTCCACGCACGATGAGTTCTGGTGTTGGTATAAGCCATCGTATGTTTTGTTCCCCCGCGGACACAGGTTCCAACCTTCTACTTACGCACCCGTGTGAGCTACGTGACGGGGTCTGCCCAATGATCTAAGCTTGATGGAAAAATTCCGCGGAACACGACGGCCGCCGCTGATCGGGTTCTGTTGTCTGCGCATGTTTCAATAATATACTAACTGATTACAGT